TTCTTAGTAAACAGCCATCTAACAGTGAAAATCTACATTTCCAATCATATTTGCATGTCTTTGCAACATCCATGACAATAAAATTATTAAAATTAATTTTAGACTATGTAATAATTGAACTCCACAATCACAAGAGGAATACCTGAAAGAAAACTTACCTCATGCATTAGTTTTTGTGTTAATACTGTGGACTTTGAAGGGAATTATGGATTACAATAATAGTTGTTATTATATAAGTCAGGTGGCAGATCGTATTATGTATTAATATCTAAACACCTAGAAGTCATATATATGCTACAAGCTTTAGATCTGTTCATCTCCTAAATAACTTATTACATTTTTAAACATGTGGTTAAAAAGAATTAAGCTATCACATTCCTTTCTGTATGATGATGATATTATTAAGGCTTTCAATATTCAATGTTCCTTTTTGTAAATATTATTAAGACTGCAATGTATGTCTATCAAAAAAAACCATCACCAAAAAAACCCACTATAGGCATCCATTTGAAGCATTTTTACAATGACTAAAACATAGGGATCTTAATAGTTTATAGATGTCAACCTTAGGAAATCATAAAACTAAAGATGTCTGATTGTGTTTTGCATCAAATCAATATTTCACTTCAAATATACCATTTTAAAACTTTCCTGAGCTGATTTATGCAAAGTTAGAAGCATGATGCTTACAAGCAGATACACTAGTGTTTTTGCATATTTTAGCACCAATCTGGAAACAAAGAGACAAGAATCAACATCAGTTCATATAACATTTATATAATATTTTGTATCAATGAAATGTGTGATATTTTAATGACAAGATCAATGGACTCTGTAGTTGTGTATTTAACTTTGTCAACACAAAACAAACAGAGCATTCATTATATGGATATCACATATGTGTACATTGCATTCTATTACAGTACTACTCACCAAAGCCATGTGAAGCAAACATGTGAGGCAGTGTGTCCATTCAACAAGTATTTCCAAAAATTTACTTTCAGATCATTTCAATATACATACTGCACATCAAAACTGTTGTTAGCACTGGAATTTTTTTTAAGGAAAATGTGTCAGTGACATCTACATATATGTTATATATGTGTGTGTCTAAACAATCAAATTGTTGTATTAAAGGCATCATCAACATAAAAAACAATTAATACAATGTATGGAAATATGGGGTCATACAGAATTTACTTTGAGGAAAAATTCATGTCTAAAGTATTGTTCAGTGTGGCACCCTTGCATTCATGTTCATTTAGAGCAATATTCTAACTAACTATAATTAAACCATGAATTACAATCAAACTTTCCTTGAAATACTGTGAAATACTGTGAATGAAATGTAAATGACACAGATGATAAGTCATGAAATCGAGATAACCGATTCCCTAATATATAATCTGTGTGGTTTGTGTGACTGATGGAGTCTTAGTCACATCTCAAAAGATGGATCAGTCCATGATTTGGAGAAGGTGGTATAAAAGGGAATATTTATTGATTCCTGTGATTCCAAAATATCAATTTAAAGGCTTTTGAGAAATAAAAATGGATAGTTTTCATCCTGT